AAACAATTATTCAAAAGAACAAATACTTAAAGACTTTCTAAGAGAATCAAATCGAAGATTATCCAAAGGTCTTACAACAAGACATTTAAGATCCAAACTTTCTAAAGCAACGGGTTCGTGCACAACATTAGTGGAGGAAAACATACAATTATGATTTTCCATTTTCCTCTAACTAACTTTATCATAGTTGACGGCGAACAATGAAAACAAGATAGTTTGGATAAGCGGTTTACCTCTTTCATAAGATTTGAAATCTTATGGTGGATACTTACTTTTCCACCCATGACATGAGAATTTGAATGAACAAATTCATTTCGAAGCTTATTAAATCTTGGTCTTATGTGCCCACGAGTTCCACCAAAGTGACAAATTATAATGAACTTCTTGACTTCAAGAGCGGTAGAAGGTTCAATAGGTGAAGAGGATTTGACAAACTTTGTTTTAGACATAGCGGAAGACTTATTACTTGGTTCAAATCCCAAGCCTCGTTTGTCACCGTATCTTCTTCCCATGCTAATCATCTTGTCAATTTTTTCTGCACCAATGGTTAAAGAAACAATCCTTTCCTTTGAATTTTTAAGTTCAAGTTCAAGGGCTTTGTTGTCAGAAGTTAGAGATGCAATTAATTTACTCTGATCAGTCAATTTTTTCTGCAAAAACATCAATTTTTCGTTCATACCTGCCCTTACCTTTTCGAAATTTGCATCAGGGGATTGAAACTCGTTTGCAATCCTGCAATTTTCTAGCTTCATCACGGCAATGGATTTTATGAGCTTTTCAATTTGTTTGCTGAGTTTTTGAGAAGCAGCCAACAAATATTCATATCTTCACAATCATCATCCTTCTTCATTATCCAAACTTACGGTCGTGATAAGTGCAATGGCCTTTTTATTATTTTTAGAGTCAGAATCATTGTCACTCCACGTAGTATGCAGTGCCTTATTTTTCCCATCCTTTTGCTTCTTTAAGGTGTTGGCACATTCTGAAGATATATGTCCATAGCCTTCACATTCGAAACATTGGACCTTTTCTCTTAGATTCTTTCGTTCATTTGAGTTGCGAGATTTAGACCCACCATCAGTATAGTCAACAAACCTATTTTTAGAATTTATACCTTTTAAATCTCAACTCCTTGGATCCTGATTCTTGAGAAAGTTCATGAATCGTCTTGTGACAACTGTAATCTTCATTTGAATGCCCATCATCTTCATCATTCACAACCTTGAAAGCAACACTTTTGCTCTTTTTAGGAGCTATATGTTTCATATCATAGGTTTGTATGGATCCTATGAGTTCTTGTACTTTCAAGGTGTTCAAGTCACGGATCTCTTCAATAGTCGTGATCTTTGGTTGAAACCGTTGAGGTAAGGATCTCAAAATCTTTTTCACAACCCTATGTTCTAGAATTTTTCACCTAAACCTGAACAAGCATTCACAATTACACAAAGTTTAGCATAAAATTCAGAAAAAGTTTCATTCTCATCCATCATGAGTGTCTCAAACTGTAAAGTGTCCAGTTGAAACTTGGCTCCCTTGACAGTACCTGTTCCTTCATGAGTAACCTGCAAAATATCCCAAGCTTCCTTAGAAGTATCACAACCAGATCTATATTCAAATTGATCGGAAGAGACAGCAGTAAATAAAGCATTTAACCTCTTTTGATTATTAGTGTTGTGTGACTTCTGCAATGGTCCACTCCTCTCTAGTTTTGAGGACTGTGGTTTCTTCATCTCCTTTTCCGATCTTCTTTGTGTGTTTATGAAATCCATGAACCACTGAACTCCATACACGTTCATCTAAGGACCAAAGAAACGACTTCATTTTGGCCTTCCAAGCGCCATAGTTGCTGCCATCAAAATATGGGGGATGTGAAATAGAGCCCGCGACACGATCCATCCTAAGGTATGTTAGAACTTGCTGAGTATGTCCAGCAACCTGCTTTGATACCAATTGAAAATACATGTAGGATGACTAAAAATGCCTAGAGGAGGGTGAATGAATTTAAGATTATAATCAAATAAATAAAAATAAACTTCGGTAGCAAGATTGATACAGCATATCAATCCTGAAACGCGTTGGGCATAAAATAAAAGAACATGTAGACAATTATTTTACGTGGTAAAACCCCACCTCAGAGGAAAATCCACGGGACTCCTCAGTCCAACACTAATCCACTATAGAACGATGATTACAAGAAGTACTCACACACTTATCCTATACCTATTCTAGATAATGTTTACCGACTTCTTCGTGACTCAACTTCTGTCACGAGATGATCTTCAACACTCTTTATATTGAAAGCAATACTAGCCACGATAGCTTCAAGCTTGTCGGAGGAAAATCGCCACCATGGTCTTAGTGCCCAAAACTGTATGAGCAACGACATGCATATGAATGCAATATGAATGAAGAAAGGATTTGATAAATCACCAAGCAAACAAGGAACACTTGATCACTTATCTAAGAAAATAAGCACAACACCTTTCTCAAAACAGATTCAATATATTCAAAGAAAATTCAATACGTTGAAAGCTACTGATCAAAAGAAACAACGATGGTTTCATTCCGTGCAGGTTTCTCTCACTTGAGAGAAACCCACGTGACTACACTTCCTATGCAACAAAGATTCACAAAACCAATTCAACAAAGACTTCTAAACGTCATGCAAAAGGTCTCTTCAATGAGACGCCAAAACAGCAGCCAAACAATTATCCAATTATCAATTTAAATTCTAATTCATTCACATGCTATGTGATGCGCCAACTAATGCAAGTTGTGAGGAAACCTAAGGACTTTCAACTACAGCTAATCTTTTAAAACAATATCTACCTAAACAAATTAATTAGACCAATCAAGTAGGAAATAATATCAAGAGATAAAATATAATCCTATTAAAAATAGGATTAACATAAAACTACTTGAGTGAAAATAATTCCAACTAGGAATCCTATAATGAATGCATAATTATGTCATGATTTACCTGAAATCAGTTTCCTCATAGTGATCAAGTCACACTTTGGAAATCTGGGATTGAATGTGTTGGGCCAAAACTTCTAGTAAACGATATTCACATGCTAACTCCCAACCTATGCTAGAGTCTAGGAAATGACAATACAATTTTCATACTAACATAGGCCTTAGCCATCAATCTTGTAATTCCAAGATTTCATTGTTGTGTGATCACGGATAAAAAATAAAACATGTTTCTTGATTGTAGCTCCACTTCCCCATGTTTAAGGTGTGAGTGGATTAATTTCTTGAGGAGTAATTTTTGCTCCTAGAAATATCCATTCATTTTACACCATAGGCAGGTGGGGGTTGTTAATATTTTAACAATCTTTTTCTATTTAAAAGACATGCAAAAGCAAAAACACAAAAACAAAAGCTCTCACCATGTGGCCAGATGAAGAGAAACTTGGAACAAATTGATCACGAGGACTATAATGAGATTATGAGCAGTAGAACAGTATTGCTTGCAAGGGTGGACCCCAAACAAAATCAATACGTATGTGTAATAAACTTTGGCAGTCAGTGCCTTGCTTGTGACCAAATCCCTGAAGCATGGAGGAGAGGAAGCATGTAGAAATTGAAGGCATAAATAGTCAACGAAGGACAAGCCCTAGTGGTCCTACCCATAAAAGAAGATTAAAGAAGGAATTATATAGTTCTCTAATGAGAAAGTCTGTGGCATTTTTAATGTCAGGGATATGTTTATATCTTTATTTTTTTGCTAACAAATCAACTCAAGAACTTTCATATCATTGTATATCAGTGCATAGGAAGTATAAACACATGTTCCACCATTTCTATTACTCTATCCAACCAATTCATTAGCAGCTGCCTTTGTTTTGGTTTTCCATTGTACACATGTCTTTGTGTTCGGCTTCCAAGGTACAACTGCCTTTATTTAATGTATGTTGTGAGTTATCTAAACATATAGTTGATGCAAGAAAACTGTTTAAAACATCACATTTGCGTATCGAATTTAAGTGATTTTTTGTAGAGATAATTTTTGAATGAATATCTACAAAATAAATTGTTTGAATTAGTGAAATACAATGTGGAGTGACGTCCTGGGGAAAAAATCGAGAATTTGAGATGTGGTGGATTCTTTATTCTCCTCCTATGCTGCTGAAGAATATAAGTCATGTTCCTGAAACACAACATCCATGAAGGTATAGACCTTCTGACTAAGAGGATGACAACACCGGTATCCTTTCTGAGGAGGGGCATAGCCAATGAAAACACACTTTTCAGCTCAGGGTTCCAATTTGCTTTGTTGGTGATCATGTAAGTGGACAAATACAACACAGCCAAAAATCCGGGGTTTCAGGTTTGGGGTAGGAGGTATTTGGATATTATGGTGAAGTGTTTGAAGAGGTGTTTGGAAATTTCGGATACTGGAGGGAATCTGATTGATGAGGTATGCTGCAAAGATGACGGCTTCTCCCCAAAAATATCGAGGCATATTAGCACCAAAGAGAGAGGTACGAACTACTTCCAATAAATTTCTGTTCTTTCTTTCAGTGACTCCATTTTGTTGGGGAGTGTAGGGGCATGAGCATTGATGTATGATGCCATGATCTTGTGAGAACTTGTTAAGATTATGGTTGGGAAATTCTCTGCCATTGTCAGAACGAAGAATCTGAATTCTGGCATGAAACTGAGTCTCCACCATTTGATAGAACTGTTGAAACTTGGAACTGACTGCCCCTTTTGTTTTGAGAAGCGAAACCCAGGTCATGCAAATGCAATCATCTATAAACATGACAAACCATCGAGCTCCCCCTCGGAGTGGTAATTTTAGCAGGGCCCCAAACATTAGAATGAACAAAAGAAAATGGAGCCAAACTTTTATTTCAAGTTAAGGGAAAAGGAACATGATGGCTCTTGGCCAGTTCACAAATGTCACACTTAAAACTGGAAAGATCAAAATTGAAAAATAAGGAAGGAAATAGCTTCTGTAAATATCCAAATGAAGCATGTTCAAGACGCAGATGCTATAACCATACTTCGGCAATGTGCTTCTCAACACTAGCACCCCAAATTTTGTAAGCTTGACTAATGCTGGCTGCACTATCAGATGCCAAGTCTAGGTAATGGAGTTTGCTCCTACTAGTACCACAACCAATCGTCTTACTGCTGAGAATGTCCTATAAAACACAATGAGGCCAAAAGGTTATAGTGCAATTCAAAGCTATAGTAATTTAGGAAACAAACAAGAGATTATGTTGAGGGAGTCATAGAGAGAGAGAGAGTAAACCCTCCCCAATTATGGGGGATGTGGTACCATTGGCATTAGACACCACCAATTGAGGAGGCGGTGCATGAGAGGCAATTTGTCCAGGATCAAAGGTCATATAATCAGTGGCTCCGATGTCAATGATCCATGTGTGTTTCTTTGAAGAACTATGTAAAACATAACCTTGGGTACCTGTTGTGGCTACAGATGTAGAGGCGAGAGCCGATGTAATTGAAATAGCAGGACTTACAGGATCTGAGTCAGAAGATGTGTTGAGTGCTTTGCTACTATTCTTGCGGGGGGTTTCGGAGTGATCCCACCAATTCGGGTACCTAATCAATTTGTAACAGCCAACACGGGAATGTTTGCTTCCACCACAGTGAGTGAATTTATGCTCCAGACGAGAGCCTATGACCTTAGTCTGAGAAGAACCATCGGTAGATATCTGAGGGCCCCATTGACGTTGAGTGACCATGACAACAGTTTCCGGAACACTGGCCATGGTCAGTCGTTGTTGAGCTTCGCGACATACATATGCAAAGGTTTGGTCAAGGTCTAATTTTGGATCTTTGAGTAGGATTTCCCCTCGAACTTGATCAAACTCAGGGTCGAGAACGGCAAGAAAAATGTGAACATGAAGACGATCCAGTTCTATCTGGCGCTCAGTCACGTCAGCGTCGCAGTGCAAGCGATTGGGAGTGCAATGATCAATTTCCTGAAAGATGTGCTACAGCTGGTTGTATATTTGTGGACGAGTGGACCGTTCTGTTTAATGGTGAATGCCCGTTTGTTAAGATAAAAAATATAAGTTTCATCCCCACCATCATAGTAGGTTTTCTTTATTGCATCCCAGATTTCTTTGGCGGTACTTAAACGGATTAAGCGACTCATCAAGTGGGGAGACATGGAGTCGATGAGCCACCCTTTGACCCGAAAGTTCTCTGTACACCATTTGCTATAGGTGGAGGAGAGCTTAGAAGGCTGCAGAGTGTCACCGATTAGGTACCCCAATTTGTCGCAGGCAGCAATATGCATCTCCATGACTTGAGACCATAAGGCATAATTGGACCTAGTCAAGGTGAAGCTAGTAGGGAACGGAGCTTTGTCACTGTGAATAGTAACAATTTGGGAGGATGGTGGAGTGGAGTCAGTGGTTTTGGAAGATGAGATGACATCCTTGATGTTTAGGGGTTTTTTTTATAAGAGGATATGAGGGTTTGTATGTGGAGATATGAATTTGAGGAATTTGATTTAGGGTTTGTGTTTGAAGAAATTTGATATGAGGATTTAGGGTCTGTGTTTGAAGAAATTTAGTATGAGGATGGGTGTCCCTCAAATAAGCTTATTTGAGGAATTCCTTAATGAAAGCGATATGTCTCTCTCTCTCTCTCTCTCTCTCTCTCTCTCTCTCTCTAAGGATTTCAAAGTCACATAATTAAAAGGGACAACAAATTCATTTCATTATATACATTCGTAATCAATAGAGGTGTCAAATGGGCCGTGCCGGTCCGGACCATTTAAAGTCATCCCATTTAATAAAAGGTCATGCCGGGCTTGCTCATTTATGAAAATCATCAATCTCAGCACAAGCCCACGACTCTAACCCATGTAGGCTCGAGCCGTGCTCATACCGAGCCATTAAAATAGCCAAGATGGGCCCACGCCAAATTTGACTTAGGTATTGACTTCATTTAAATCTTTTTTAAATTATGTATATACAAATAAGATTTGTGATTTGTTGAAAAAAGAGGCCAATAACTTTATTTAAAGTAGATTTAAATAGAAAATGACTAGATTAATGTTTGGATTTTAAAATTGACAGTTGACAATTAAAATCATTATTTTATCTAGAAAGAAAACATTAAATTTTAAAACATATTATTAGACAAAAGAAATACACTTGAATTTAAGAAATAAGTGGGCTTTAAACAAGACGACTTGTTGGGTTTCGGCTTGGCATGGCCTGCAACGGTCTACGGCCCGACCCAATCAATTGGGCCTAATTATTTTGTCCCAGTCTGCCCAAAGATACGGGTCGTGTCGTGCTAGGCCTTACTTAAGAGGCCCGTGCTCAAGCCAGTCTGGTCCATCTGACACCTCTACTAATCAAGCAGCAAAAGTAACATGAAAAATTGTAATCAACCAACAAAAGCTCTGATCCTTTGTGAATTTTGGAATGAAGGGTCAAGAGAAATCTCTTCTGAGGAAGTCGTATGCCCCCTGTTGCCTTGCCCTAATGAATTGAAAAAAGAAAAGAAAAAAAAAGGAACATTTGAGAGAAGAGGAAGCGTAGGTTAACACAAATAAACAATTAAAAAAAGAAAGAGATACAAAGAGTTTTTGTAAGGGTAGAACATAGTATTTTAAAATAGAATATGGGTAAGTTAGTCATAAAAATTTGCATTAAATGCTTTTCCAGGTGGGGTAAAAATTCACTATCTGAGCCAAAGGGTATGAAATTCCCCTCTACATGGGAAGTCCATACCCATGAATCTAGAATTGCATTTCTAAAAGTGCACTTACCACAGTGGAATGAAGTTATAGAACTTTAGAAAGAGAGGCTCCCTTTTCTCTCTAGAATTTATTTCCTTCCCATCTTTCTTTTCTGAACTTCTGGTTGTGTTGCCACACTTCGGGGTGGCTTCTCTGCCACCTATGGTGTGGCCTCTCCGCCACCCTTTGGTGTGGCTTCTTTGCCACCCTCTGGTGTGGCTTTTATTTTCCTTTTCTGTCTTTTATTTTAGTGTGCTTTTTCTACTCTTTTTTTCTTGCTATTGGCCCAGATCTCCTCAATCTTTTCTCTCCCACTCCTTTACAACCATTTCACCTCTCTCTCCCTCTTCTCCTCTCATCCACCCACCCCCCTTCAGCCTATTTCTCTTCCCCTCCCATGAACTCTTTAACCCTAAACCCCTTCCTTTTCCATAGGATTTTCTTGCTGTTGTTCATCTCCTACAACCTATCCTCATATTTGAGTTTTTGCTATGGAGGAGTGGACTTTGTAGTTTAATGGTCAATTTAGACCAATCCATAGATCGTTTGAGCTTGATACATGGTAGTGCCTTTCTTCCTCGAATCCACGCTCTTCAGATCTCCTTTGTCGATTCTCATGGACCTTCCTCTACTGGCGGTGACATCAGGTGGCAACGGCAGCCAGTTAGTTCTTGAGTGTGATTTTAGGGTTTTTGTTGTGTTTGGGCCTAAATTATGTGTATTATGGTCAGAGGCGCATAGGAGGTCTACCAATCCTCCTACAAATCCCAACTAATTATGTAATAGTTAGAGTTAAGGATATCTTTGATAAAAGACATATTATATTATCAATGGGCAAGAAAGGTTGTTTTATATGTAGGGAATGGAAATATCTAAAGTCATTAAGTGTGGATGTCACATTCCGGGATCGGCTCCGCTGTAGCACGATATTGTCCACTTTGGGCCCCCCTTTCTGCCCTCACGGTTTTGTTTTTGGGAACTCACGAGCAACTTCCCAATGGGTCACCCATCTTGAAATTGCTCTGGCCCCAACTCGCTTAACTTTGGAGTTCTCATGACTCCGAAGCCAGTGAGCTCCTAAAAGCCCTTATGCTAGATGGAGGTGGGCATGTACATATAAGGCACATCACCCCCTCTCTATTGGTCGATGTGGGATGTTATAATCCACCCCCCTTAGGGGCCCGACGTCCTCGTCGACACACTCCCACCACATGGCAGAGTGGCTCTGATACCAAATTGTCACATCCTGGGATCGGCTCTGCCGTAGCACGATATTGTCCGCTTTGGGCCCTCTTATTTGCTCTCACGGTTTTATTTATGGGAACTCACGAGCAACTTCCCAGTGGGTCACCTATCCTGTAATTGCTCTGGCCCCAACTCGCTTAACTTTCGGAGTTCCCATAACTCCGAAGCCAGTGAGCTCCCAAAAGGTCTCGTACTAGATAAAGGCGGGCATGTACATATAAGGCACATCACCCCCTCTCCGTTGGTTGATGTGAGATGTTACAGTGGAGACACATGATATGTGTAGGTGCTTGTAGAAAAACAAGTGCACTGAACGCGATCCAACACATGAGTTACAGCATGGAAGTCTTTACTCTCATGTCAACTTGGAACTCATAAATTGCAATGGTGCAAACTAATCCTTAGACTTGAGGCATCATAGATGTTTTGTGGCTATGTTGTTAATCTTTGAGGGCACTATACAGTCATGCTGAATTAGGCATAGCTTAAAAGTGCTCATCAGGATTTTCAATAGAGTCATGGAAGCAAATGAATGTACAAAAAGTAATCTCTACTCTCAGTAAAGGAGAGAGAATACTCCAAGATATGATTGGTCAAATCTCTGCACATAATAGTCTATAAGACTTGAAAGAAGAAGTCTTCAAATCTTACTAGGACAATTATATAAAAAGAATGATTCGCATTAGGATATTAACTATCAGATTCCATGATTTAATAATGTGAATAAGAAGTATTGACATAAGAGAAGGATTCAATTGCACGGTCATTCCAATTTGAATAAGTTATTTCACAACGTCTCATTTAGCTCGGATAACCATGACTTGCTACTAAGTGACAACCATGGTTTGTGGATGTCCTAAAAGGTTTCAATTAACCGTTATTAATAGGAAGAATTAAATTGTGGAATTTAATTCGTATATCATCTCTGAGGAGTTGAGTTAACCCACTATCTTGCTAAAGGAACCTATGGTGCACACCCAAAGAATGTGATTAGATGTACAAATAGGGAGACACAAGTCAATGGTTGATAATCAAATGTCAAAGTCAACGGTCAAAAGTCAACATGTTGACTGGAGCAATTGACCAAAGTCAAATAGTTGGACCGGGTCAATTAAGTAAGACTATAATTATAATTTAATAGTAAAATTATAATTAAAAGACTAATTATGGAATTAATATTGACATATGGAAATATTGGATTGAGCTTCTAAATATGATTTAAACGGAAATTGATAAAATAGCCTAAAAAGCTATTTGGCCCAAGGGATAAGTGGCATAAGATGACATGACCCATAGACCAAATGGGGCCCCAATACCCACCCAATAAGCTAAGTGTTGGAGAAAACCTAGATTGGGTTTTTTATTTCCTACTTTGGTTGATGAGTGATAATCTTTGCATCTCATCTTCCATAAACCGTAAATTGGTCCAATCAAGAAGTAGGGTAGCATACATACTTCTTGATTGCCTTCTCTTCATCTCTATGAGCATTTGGTGTGGTAAGATACTAGTTTAAAATGAAAAAGGTTTAGCTAAACTAATATAAACAAAATGAATTCTCCATTTAGAATGTTTTTGTCGTATAGGTTGTGGCTAAAGTTAATTTCCTATGCATTAGATGCATGTTTCCTTCATCAGGTTCCAGACACATTTGACCAAATTGCCCTTAAACTAAAATTAGAAAATTATTTTAAAGTTTGACTTCTGCCGAAAAATTGGCAGTCTCCCCTGTAAATTGCTTGTTTCCCAATAATTTACACATGTACAACATGCAATTCTTATATCCACAAACGTTCCACATGCACAATGTTAGAGCACACACAATCCAACAGCAAATCTGTGTGGCCTCAGGCCTTACAAAAATCCTAGGGCAATATCAGAGCATATTGAATAATTTAATTTACAAAAATAGAATGGTTACAGTAGGATATCCTACATAAAGGAAGTGGACGAGTGGTGGGTGATGAATGCCTAGTGGTGGTTCTCCGGTACTCGATTACTGCATCGGGGCGCAAAACATTAAAATAGTGAGTGAACAAAAGAAAGTTTTGCAAAATATAATATCAACATACTAACCCCACTATTAAAAACCATTTGAAGACTCATTTAATCCATGTTCTATATTCGTACCAAAATCAAGCATGCATATTTGAATTCATATAACCGTTCATACATTCAATCAATTCATCAAAACCATTTGAAAGCATTGAAAAATAATAATTCCTTTCCACCTAGGTGTACCCTTCATAAATTTGTCAATTCCATGATTTTTCTATTTATTTCCCACATTATACCATCAATTTCA